GCCAGGTACTGTGGGGACAGGGGTCCCCAAACCACCCCAGTGTCCCCAAACCACCCCAGTGTCCCCATGCCACCTTCTCGAGGACAAAGGCCAGGTGATCCATGATGTTCTCGTGTCCCCAAACCCCTCCCGATGTCCCCAACCCCTCCCGATGTCCCCAGCCCTGCCGGTGTCCCCGTGCCACCTTCTCGATGACGAAGGCCAGGTGCTCCACGAGGTCCCCGCGGGTGTAGATGGCCCGGGTGTCATCGCTGCCGTCCTCGTAGCCCTTGAGGAACAGGTGCTTGAAGGCCACCGTGTTGTCCTCCTTGAAGGCCACCACCAGCTGGTTGCTGAGCCCAAACAGGATCAGCTGGGGACAAAGGCCACCACCTCTGTCACCACCTGTCCCACCACGGTGACACTGATGTGTTTTGTCCCAGAACGCTTTCACCCAGAGCTTGGGGACAAAAGCCACCACGGTCACCCCGTGTCCCACCCTGGTGACACCACCGTGTTTCACCCCGAAATGGTGTCACCTGTGGTTGGTGACAAAGCCACTGCTGCCATCAGGCCCTGTCCCACCACGGTGACACTGCCATTCTTTGTCCCAGGACACTCCAGTGTCCCTTCCAAAGTGTCCCCATGTCCCAGTCCCCTGTGCTGCTGTCCCCACTGTCCCTGATGTCCCCATGTCCCCTTCCCGGTGTCCCAGCCCCTTGTGCTGCTGTGCCCACTGTCGCCATCTGCCATCCCCGCTGTCCCATCCCCGCTGTCCCATCCCCGCTGTCCCCAGCCGTGTCACCTGCACGGTGACAAGGACGATCTTGGCGAGCTGCAGCACGAGTTTCACGGGCCGCCTGCCGCGGGCCCGGTACTTGTCACAGGGGCTCATGAAGAAATACTTGAGGCGGCGCCGCAGCTCTTCCTCCTCCTCCTCCTCTTCCTCCTTCTCCGGTACCGGCGCCGGGGCCGCCCCGGCCGTGCCGTAGCCGGGGCCGCGGCTCAGCAGCCGCTCGGTCTCTGCGCACACCCGCCGGTGTCACCTCGGTCCGGTGTCACCTCGGTCCGGTGTCACCCCTGTCCTGCTGTCCCCAACCCAGCCGGTGTCCCCCTGCCCGAGAACAGCGTCCCCGGTACCCGCAACCACCCCGGCCGGACCCCCGATGTTCCCGCACCCAGCTGTGCTCCTGTCCGGTTCCCGGTACTGCCAGACCCGGTCTGCCACTTATCCCGCTCCCTGTCCCCATTCCCGCTCCCTGTCCCAATTCCCGGTCCCCATTCCCATTCCCGGTCTCCTCTCACCGGACGCCGCCGCCATCGCTCCGCTCCCCCTCAGCCCTCAC